ACCACATTACACATATAGATCATTGCATCATTTCTATTTTATGACATAATTATTTACTTCGAATTATTAATCAAATTATTTGTATTAATGACTCATATTATTAGTAATTATGAGTCAGAGGATTAGTAATTAGCAATTAGTAAGCTAGTAATATAGAAAATAGGATTAATAAGCATATTTTATTGGACAAAATAGAGTAGAAGTCATGTTATTTGTAATACCTCAAGAGGTATAAAAAGGCTTGGTTTTAGACCAAGTGAAAAAAAGTAGATCATGTTAATAACACTAATAATAATCTATAACAATTGAATAAATACCCCCCCTGTTGTTAATAATTAAACAAACACATTTTACCTTATTACGAATTTTTGCATAGTTAATAGGAAAAGCCATTGTGAATTGTTCCATGGTCCTCTCTGATGATTAGTAGCTGGCCACTAATTATTGGTTAACCCCTTCCCTGTTTGATTGTTCTATGCTGCTTGTAGGGATGCCTCAAGTGGTATAGTTGTAAATATTTCTTGTATATGTTCTTTTTATTTTATTTATTTATTTTAGGCTTTTGCCAGCAGTACTTAGTATTAGTACTGTAGAGAGAGAGAGAATTGCGCAATAGAGTTTTGAGTAGGCTCTGAGCTGTGTGCCAATACAGAGGCCTGAGATAGAGAATTGAGAACCCTGAGCTGTGTGCTGATACAAGGAGATTTATATATTGGACTTTTTATTTATTTTATCTTATATATTTATTGGACACATCACAAGCTGTATTTTGCATGCTCACACTATGCAATGGTATGAAAATGGGATATATCTGTTTGGAATATTGGATAAAACAATGATACCTTCATCAGATAATGATTGTTTATTATTTGAAGAATTATATTGTGTCTTGAGAGAATTGGAAGTAAGTACTTATTATTATGTCATTATTTGATTAATGATATATGAATATGCAACTAATTTAACAAGTTTTACAGGTGAAGTTGTCTGAAATTGAAGAAGTGTTCAAAGTTTTAAATTCCACAAACATGAGAGGAAAAAGAAGAAAACTCTGAATGCAATTCTCCTAATTTAAATGAAGTCAGAACACCATAATGAAAACTGATTTTTTCACAAAAATTTTAAATGCTTTTGAATTACTTTAATACATTGTCAAATATATTTATGGCTTAATTTATTTTTATCATTTGAATTTAGTATTAGAGTTAATTGCAGGATATTTTAAAATTTTATTCTAGTAATTTTTTTTAGGATCTAGTGATCAGAAATAAAGTTTGGATTAATCTTTTTATATTTGAGTTTTTGCTTCCCTCTTTCCAGCTGATGCACTTCTTTACACATGAACTGTCAATTAGTTAAAATCAGTAGTGTTAATGCAAAAAAATATAGTGCAAGACACTTAGTCCCTGCAAATTGCTATGCCATAGCAACAAATTTGAGAAAACCCACCAGATTTTAAAATGAGTATTTATATTTAAAAAAAAGCAATAAAATTTGCATATCACGTGACCGTTTCATCACTTCATGTGATCACATGGTTGATCAATTGAATCACACAAAAAAATTCCCAATTAAATTTTATTGAAATGTACCGTAAAGTCTGGAAAGATAGCATCCCCTTTTTACATATGTGTAACATTTTTTTTATATTGACGCTCAATTGTTTTAAAGTAGGGGGTGCTATCTTTCCAGACTTTACAGTATTACTGTTTATGTCATATCTCCACATCTTCATCATCAAATTCACAATTATACTGAACCAATGGAAGTTCATTAGCAATATCATAGACCAGCTTAGCTAGAAGTTTCTTTACATCTAAAAGGTCACTGATTACAAATGGCTTTTACCTACTAAAAATAAAATTGACATTATACAACAAACCAGATGCAATTTTTTTTTTCATAAGCTTCTCTATTATCACTGTTCTTTTTATTTTTTATTGGGTAAATGCCTACTTCCAACACTATTATTCAAAATTCTTGATTCGTTTTGATCCATCAATCTTACAAAAATCATGAGTACCATCTATTCTATATCTATATTTTCTTTCTAGATTTGCATCAACTTTTTATTTACTTATGCCCAAGTTATTATTCTCATGTTATTATTGGTAATAATCAATTTAATATTTGCATATAAGGTAATTTTTGGTTTTATTTTTTTATTTTTTTTATTCATTTTCTGTATATATAGTACTTTTTGTAGTTGTTGTAGTTACTGTTTGCCACTTTCTTTATCATCATCATCGCCATCAATAACATCATTATTAACATCATTATTAACATCATTATTAACGTCATTATTATCATTATCATCTTGTTCTCTGATAACCAATGGCGAATCCTTTGGTAGATTAGATCTGATATTTAATGCAATCAGTTGTCCAAAAGTGCTAATACCTTTATCAGTTCATTTAGAATTTATCATTGCTTGAAATAATTGTAGGCAACCTACCTTTATCATTTGGGGTTTCAAATCCATAAAAATTCCAACCAAAATATGCTAGTTTGAATGCTATATGATTTTTAGTATATTTTGACATTAAATAGTCTTTTCTTTTGTCAAATTTTTTTTTAAATTGTTGCTATTATTTCAATAGTATTATGATTATTGTGATTATCATTATTATTATTAGTTGTATGCATTTCATCCTGCTTTTCTAGCTCCTCCTTCTGTAGTAGTAGTGATTGTTGTTTTTCTAGTTAGTAGTTTTGCCAACAATTCTTGTTTACAATTAGAATATTTTCTGAGCACAAAATGTCTACCAAATTTATCAGAAAATTCTGAAAACAAAATAGATTTTTCCACATGTAATGTAAAAAATTTTTTTTTTAACATCTAATTATAAAAATGAGTTTATATGAATATGGGTTTAGTATATAGAGGTAGCTCAAGATCAAGATGCTCAAGGTATGTTTATAAATATCAATTCTTCCAATACCTTCTTTCTTTGTATAAAATAAAATAAAATTATTATTTGATATTTGTAGTTTACAAATAAATGATTTATAATATAAACAATATACTGTAAATACAACAAATCTAGCTTCATGAGCAGTGTCTAAAATCTGAACTTGAGGTTATGTGCACTGACCACACATTATTATCAAACTAATGTATGGGCAATTTACATAAGTAATAAAATAAATTATAAAACAATTGATAAATTTTGTTTATACTTTTCAAAAAACATAGTCACCTTTCTATACTGTCTTCACTTTTTTTCAAGTCAAAGTTAAACTCATAACCAATTTGGATCAAAATCTTCACATACTTTATTTAATTCTTGTCTGGTTATTTCCTTATTTTTTTGCTTTTGTGTAGTTACTAAAGCTCTGAAACACCATGAATTGAGACTTGCATCATGAATTGCATCTTGTGCCAGTTGTATAAAATTATGATAGGTGGTGCAGTGCAAGTTTTTAGGATTTTTAATTCAATTTAATAATTTGACCTCAAGTATAATTGGTACAGTCCAAAAGTTTTCAGGTTTCAGTTTAGCCCAGCCCGCAAGCATGATTCATGACAATTTATTAGCTAACAAAACCTTTTTGGCTATGAAGCTTTGATGTTGCATTAAAAATTAAAAAATTAAAAAGTTTTCATACATAAATAAA